TATATCACTTCCACTGTACCACCACTATTAATGTCTTCTGTCAGCAACACAATCACCACCTACATCACAACCACCTACTACAATCACCACCTACATCACAACCAAGTAACTACAGTCACCACCTACATCACAACCAAGTACTACAATCACCACCTACATCACAACCAACTACTACAGTCACCACCTACATCACAACCACCTACTACAATCACCACCTACATCACAACCAAGTACTACAATCACCACCTACATCACAACCAACTACTACAGTCACCACCTACATCACAACCAACTACTACAGTCACCACCTACATCACAGCCAACTACTACAGTCACCACCTACATCACAAACCAACTACTACAGTCACCACCTACATCACAACCAACTACTACAGTCACCACCTACATCACAACCAACTACTACAATCACCACCTACATCACAACCAACTACTACAGTCACCACCTACATCACAACCAACTACTACAGTCACCACCTGCATCACAACCAACTACTACAATCACCACCTACATCACAACCAAGTACTACAATCACCACCTACATCACAACCAACTACTACAATCACCACCTACATCACAACCAACTACTACAATCACCACCTACATCACAACCAACTACTACAATCACCACCTGCATCACAACCAAGTACTACAATCACCACCTACATCACAACCAACTACTACAATCACCACCTGCATCACAACCAAGTACTACAATCACCACCTACATCACAACCAACTACTACAATCACCACCTACATCACAACCAACTACTACAATCACCACCTACATCACAACCAACTACTACAGTCACCACCTGCATCACAACCAACTACTACAATCACCACCTACATCACAACCAACTACTACAATCACCACCAACATCACAACCAACTACTACAATCACCACCTACATCACAACCAACTACTACAATCACCACCTGCATCACAACCAACTACTACAATCACCACCTACATCACAACCAACTACTACAATCACCACCTACATCACAACCAACTACTACAATCACCACCTGCATCACAACCAACTACTACAATCACCACCTACATCACAACCAAGTACTACAATCACCACCTACATCACAACCAAGTACTACAATCACCACCTACATCACAACCAACTACTACAGTCACCACCTACATCACAACCAACTACTACAATCACCACCGACATCACAACCAACTACTACAATCACCATCATCACCCACTAGAATCACGACCATCATCCACAATTACCACTCATGCACTAAATCATTACTACCCACCATAATCACCATTACCCACTACAATCACCATTACCCACTGCAATCATCATTATCCACTACAGCCACAATCACCTACCACAGTCGCCACATCACCCGCTGCAGTCACAATCACCTATCACAGTCGCCACATCACCCACTGCAGTCACAATCACCTACCACAGTCGCCACATCACCCACTGCAGTCACAATCACCTACCACAGTCGCCACATTAACCACTGCAGTCACAATCACCCACCACTCACCACCATCGCCAACTACAGTTACCACTCACGTACATAATCACCATTACCCACTACAGTCACCACAATCATCTCCTCCCACCTCTTATCACAACAATCATCACCATCACCCACCTCTATCACCACAATCACAACAATCATCACCCACCTCTCACCACCCTCTGATACACCCCCTTGAATATCCTGACGAAGTAGGGTGTTCCTCTCTTCCCTTTCTCCCCTCCCTCCCATCTCTCCTCCCCTCTATTTCTCCCCTCCTTCCATCACCATCTTATCACTCTCTTCCTGTCTCTTCTCCCCCCTTTCTCTCTCTTTCCCCCCCTCTCTTAATGAGCCCCCAAGGTAGTAATACTACTAGTAATAGTGGAATTAGTTATGGTAGTTATAACACTGACCACCGGTATCCCAGTGTTTTGCTCCCATCCTGAACCATAGTAAGTAGCAGAACTATTGATAACTAGAAGCAGAACTAGTGATAACTAGCAGAAGAACCAGCGATAACTAGCAGCAGAAACACTAGTACACATCTCTGTGTACTAGTCTGTGTACATCTCTGTAGCTAGCAGTTAAGTAACATGAGTAATTATGGTAGAACTAGACAGTACAGGCAGTTAGTGACCATCCATCCACTTCTATTTCTACTGTATGTACACTCCATCTCATTTCTAAAGTATGGTATATTTCTCATGCTGGTGCTGGCTGAAGGATGGGTGGAGAGCCTTCTGCTTTACTTCCCTTGACTCCACCGTCTAGATAATTGTAGACAGTACTTCATCACGATAGATGTAGATAGACCTTGTCAGAAGATAGCCTCCGTGGGGACTTAAAGAGATCAATTTGCTTTTCAAATCTCTCTCTCTCTCTCTCTCTCTCTCTCCTCTCTCTCTCTCTCTCTCTCTCTCTCTCTTACTCACCCCGGGATCTTATTTTCTTTCCCCTCCCGGTAAGTTTTCT